CCTTTTTTTTTTTTTTTTTTTTTCTCCCCACCTCTGGCCAATATTCACACAATGACTTGCCTGTACTGGATAGGAATGAACTAGTGTCTGATGTCATACATCTGCTTTGCCTGGATACCATCATGTCTGCCCCTGTGTTGCTTCTGATGACTGTAGACAGTTTCAGGAGTTGCTGGTTTGGATTATCGCCTGTCTAAGAAACTTTCAGCTTTTTTCGTTTATAATATATTTGATGGGAAATCCTTCCCCATTGACTAAGGCTTGGCAGTTTCCAACACCTACATTTCTGAGGTTCTGCAATGGGACAGCACCTTTTTCTACTCTTCGCTCCCAAGTCTTTGGCTTTTTCCCCATCAGTAAGAAGTTTGAAGAGCTCCAGGAATGATTATTTCTTCCCCTTCTGACAATATACCCCAAGCCCATGGAGCAGAAGTAACAGGGTTTGGTTCTCAGTGGGTATTTTGGTTGCGGGGGGGGGAAGTGAACAGAAAATGCAAGAACAGATTCGTTCCTCCTTGACTTGGAGCTAGGATCTGCTATAGATTAAATTGATCGAGGCCATAGTTTTTAGTTTAATTTGTCCATTCTGGGACAGACAATCTTGGTGTCTTTGATCTCCAAATTATCTTCTGTGCTCACAAGACCTTGTAATCTAGAAAAGCAGTCTTGTATCCCAAGCCAGTCTCTGTACTGAACTGAATTAATTCTGATCTCTCAAAATTAGCAAATGTGCAGGATTTGGATAGTTGTTGGAGTAATGTTGTAGCCACGGTGGTCCAGCAAATGTGAGGGGCAAGGATTTTTGTGGCTGATACCTTTTATGGGACCAAATGTTTGGTTGGGTATCTCTTGGAAATCCAGGAAACAAGTCATGTTGAAATTCCACCCTAGATGTGGGAAAGCCTTTGCTTGAGTTAAGAGGATAGACTCTGCTTCTCTTCTGATCTGCTTTTATGCAATCTTTTGCAAACTGATCGAAACTGAAGTCTGCTTTGGTAGGTCCTTGATCAAAGCGCACTTCTTGTGTCCCACTGGCAGATCTTACAGTATTTATCCGTTCCTCAAGTCATAAAAATTCCTTTAAGGACTACATTGTTCTTTCCACTGGTCAAGAAAGCTGTCCTGACGTGGGATTTAACTTCACTGCACTCTTCAAGATTTGTCATGATTTGTCACTTTAAATTTGGCCTCAAGTAGCAATTGAGTTCTCCTTAAGCTCGACCACTAATTTCTCCACAGCTTGCTTTCTGAGACCTTCCTATTAGCTGAGAGATGAAGCTGTATAAGGGAGATGTTAAGTGTGTTTGGAGTTTGTTTGGATAGGGCTAAGGCATTTAGAAAGCCACTTAAAGCTTCTTGTAGCATTTGGAGATCTGTGGAGCAGGGATGCCATTTCCACTTGGTGCCCGTCCAAGTCTATCAGCGTGCCTACATTTTTACTATGTTTGAGCTCATGTGATGTTACATGCAAGTTTGAAGACTCTTTTCTAAGGGCGTGGGAACACCGATGCCTTGCATCAGTGGTGGAAATCTGCAGAACTGCTCCCTTGGCTTCCCTTTGTACGTTCATGCAGCGCTGCTCTTTTGACTTGTAGAGCTGAGGTGTGATGTAGAAGGGCCATTCTGCAGTCCACGTGTGAACTCCTTGTTTGGTCTTCACTGGGGTTTGTCTGTGGGAACATGCAGAGGCAGTAGCTGTGGTCTTTTCAGACATGCCTCCTACATTCGTTCTCCTTCCCTCTTCATCAAAGTTTTCTCAAGGACTCTTGGACTGGCCAGAAGGAGCGGTGGAGGTTTGGGACCACATGGTTGCCCCTCAGACTTGGCCTCAGTCCCTCCACAGGAGCAGTCATGCCCCAGCAAGCGCTGCTGTTCTAGCAGGCTCCTCGAAGCTCACCTCGGCGAGTGCCCCACGCATGGACACATGCAGAGAGCCCCATTTCCTGGGAAGCAACCTTGCTTCTTAGCAGCTGCGTAGAGGTTGGTAGGACACTTGGCACTGGGGAAGCATGAGCACTGAGAGAATTTGTTGAGTGACAGCAATGTCTGACGGATGCCGGGAGCCTGCTGAAGGCATCTAGTGCTGTGCAGATGCTTCTCCTCTCTTGTGGACAAGGAAATGGTGACTTGACTTTTTTCCCCCTTTCCCTGTTCAGAAGGTTGATCTGCCATCCAGTTCTTCCGCTTGTCCACCACTGAATCAACGACAGCCATGCCTAGTAGATATTAGGAAAAACATTCTCGCTAGGAGGATAGTGAAGCACTGGAACAGGTTATCCAGAGAGGTGGTGGACTCTCCATCCTTGGAGGTTTTGAAGACCCAGCTAGACAAAGCCTTGGCTGGGATGAGATGGTTGGGATGGTCCTGCTCTGAGCAGAGGTTGGACTAGGTGTCCCTTCCAGCTTTAATTTTCTATGATTCTATTAGCTAAATATGTCTAACAGTAAGGATCGTTTGACCCTCGCACATCAGGATACAGATTTCACATCCCATGAAGCAGTTGACCTCTGTGGGCACTTAGGTGTTGCTTCAGGGTCTTCACCAACTTAGAAAGTAAATGGAGGCAAGTCTTATTTCAGCCCTGCTTGGTTGTGAAAAGAGAGAAGAATTCATGCATTGGAATAGGTTGTTCAGATGAAAACCGGTGGAAGTCTAAGCGATGACTTTTCTAGCTGTGGCATCTGTGGAGGCTTTGCCAGTAGTGACACTGTGTAAGGCAGGGGTGGCCAACCTGCGGCCATTTGGAATCTGGTCACCGTGTGCTCGTGCAAAGATTCAACTTCTGGAGAGCCGCGCATGGCTCCAGAGCCGCAGGTTGGCCACGCCGGCGTAGGGCAATGAGGGTGTCTAATGCAGGTTTCCAATGCAGGATGGCTCCAGGCCATCGTGTACATAAAACTGAGCATGCAGAAAGCCTCTCCTGAGGTGTAAGAGGCTGCTCACCACTTCCTGGGCAGGTCAGCCGCGGGTTGTCTCCAGCCTTCTTGGGTTCCTGCATGCAAATGAATGGCTGCCTGTCTCCTGGGCGGCCCAGTACCCAGCACGGCACTGGCGCGTCTCCAGCTGTTTGTAAATCCGAGTGGAGGGGGGCCAGGACAACGAATGGCAGTGACACGGGGAATGTCTTGCCTCTTCCTGTTGATGTCAGTGCATCTGTAATGCGGTGGAAGCTAGCACTGAGTTCCCAGGGGAACAGAACGGAGCCGAGCTGAAATGGTAATGAATAGGGAAGGACAGCGTGGGGGAGGAGTTCTGAATGAAATTCCCTGCTGAGCTCTGCCCTTCCTTCTGGAGATGTCCCCAGACGGGGAGGAAGGGAGAGACGGACAGGGTGCCAGGAAGGTGGGGTGTAAACAAACATGACCCGCCTCTGACCTCAGAGGATTTTAATGAATAGCTGAAATGAGTCATCAACCCGGCGAGGCTGAAGCAGAGGGCTATCGGGTGCCGGGAATGGTAGCTAATGGAAACGTTAATTAAGAGTTCAGCGCCTGCCAGTTGCGAGGCGTGTAGGGACCTGAGAGGTGACACCGTTGCAGCAGTTCCACCGGAGGAGTGGAACTCCTCGAGCTGGCACCACGCTTGCGGGCACGTGGTGGCATAGGGGTTTCAGCGAGGGTTTGCCACCACCTCTTTGCCCCTACGAGGTGGTGTAGGGGTTTCAGCGAGGGTTTGCCACCCCGAATTCATCTGTACTTGTGTGAGAGCCAAACGAGAGAGCTCCTGCATAATAAAACAACTCTTCAGCTGGATGCAGGGGGGTTTTTCTCTCTTGCCAGAGTTGGCAAGTGGCACGGTGAACTTGCCTGGGGTAGAGGACAAGAAGGTGCAGGGCTTCTGTCTACTAGGGATGACTGGGGCTGATGGAGCGATGTTGTCTCTGCAGCACCTTCCTGAGATAAACACCATCCCCCCATCGTGCACCAGCTCTCAAGGTTAAGAGCGGGGAGGGATGGAGACGCAAAGTTGTAAGGATTCTTGTTGCTTCACATACCATGCACGGGAGTCTGCACCCTGGTACGCTGTGCTCATCCTGTCTGCCTGCCTTGCTCACTTTTCAATCCTGGATCTACCTTGCCTTCAGGTGTTTTCTTCTGGGAAGTTTTGGGCAGTCTCTTCTGCCTGGCAGACCCACTCATGCAACTGCTCTTTCCTTCCAGCGGGTTCAGGCTCTATGCAGGGTCCCCAGACACCTCAGTCCACCAGCAGCTCTATGGCAGAAGGAGGAGACTTGAAACCCCCGACTCCAGCATCAACACCACACAGTCAGATGCCCCCTTTGTCAGGCATCAGGTATCACAGTGCTGCAAGTGGGAGGGCGTGCAGTGCTCGCCAGGCCTAGGGAGGCTTTTGCCAGTGTCACTGGCTTGTGGGCTGAAGCGAGCGTTTGGGTTAGTTTTGGTTTGCAGTAACTCACGGCAGAGCTGTAGAATTTGCATCCGGGTAACCACAGCTCTTCTCTCTCAGGATTTAGGCTGAGGAGAGGGTTATGGAAGGGGGTGGGCATCATTCTTTGAAATGAGAAGAGGATTTTTTTCCTCTTGGTGGGCTCCGTGGAAGGAATCGTGAGATCCTTCCTTCTTTGTGGGGAAGCGAAGCTTCAGTGGTGAGGCAGAGAGTGGTCGGGGGCTTTCTCACCATGTGTTTTTGCATTACACCAGGAGCAACTCAGTTGGCCTTCAGGATGCCTTTGCAGATGGCAGTGATCCCACGTTCCAGAAGCGGAACTCCATGACTCCAAATCCAGGGTACCAGCCCAGCATGAATACCTCTGACATGATGGGTCGCATGTCCTACGAGCCAAATAAGGATCCTTATAGCAGTATGAGGAAAGGTGAGGAGGTTCTGGCTTGCCTTCACTTACTGTTCAGGGGCATTGACCCCATTGGATGCCCTAAATGTGCCTTGGGAATATACACCTGTGCTCCCAAGGTCTCTTGTCCTCCACCAAACACATCTTTCTGTGCTGATCATCATTTTTTTTCCCCCCCTTCTTTCAGCTCCTGGAAGTGATCCCTTCCTGTCCTCAGGGCAGGGCCCCAACAGTGCTATGGGTGACCCTTATAATCGTGCTGCAGGTCCAGGAATGGGTAACATGGTCATGGGGCAACGGCAACACTATCCCTATGGAGGGCCTTACGAGCGAGTGAGGTGAGTGCGTGCACCTGCCCATTGCTGGATTCTGTGCGGTGCGGTGACTGCCCCGGTTGCTTCTTCCCAGCAGGGGAACAGAGCAACATACTTCTGTGTTTATGCAGGACGGAGGCTGGAATGGGACCTGAGGGCAGCTTGGGCACCGGCACTCCGCAGCCCAACATCTTGCCTTCCACCCCTGACTCGGGGATGTACTCTCCCAGCCGCTATCCACAGCAGCAGCAGCAGCAGCAGCAGCAACAGCAGCAGAGGTAGGTGCACAAAATGGCTTCTGGCAGTTCAGTAGAAAACCTCCTGCCAGAGAGAGGGCGTTATTGCTCCACTTGCGCCTCCCAGAAGTCATGTGCTGTTCTCGGTCTCTCTCTGCAGACATGATTCCTATGGCAATCAGTTTTCCACTCAAGGCACATCTTCTGGCAGCCCCTTCCCTAGCCAGCAAACCACCATGTATCAGCAGCAACAGCAGGTGAGTTCTCCCCGAGTCTCCACTTTGGCCGACTGACAAAGATATGGGCGATTTCTTGTCTCTTCTGCTTTGTGCAAATGAGAATGCCCGCCACGATAGCTGTCTGGAGCACTGGATCCTGTTTAGTGTCTCAGTTACATGCTAGTGTAACCTTCCCATAGTCCTGGTAGTTTGCAAGTTGTTAAGTGTGTTTTATTTGTGCGGTGCTGGGTTATGGGCATTCTGGATCGTGTAGAGAGTACAACAAGGGGTCCTGCTAGCAGGCGTTCTGTGAAGTGAGGGCTCTGCAGATACCAAGAGCCCAGGCAGCTTCATTTGGTGGTTCCTTCTCTTTTCCTAAGCTTATCTGAACCCCATGGAGTTTCTGTAGCATTTTAGTTCACGGGCTGGGTGAGCTTGTTCTCTGGTAGCTTTGTGGTGATCCCTTCGCAGTTCTGAGCAGCTGCCTCTGGGTGGGATCCTTCTATGCAAGTCAGAATTTCTTTGGATATTCTCATTTGCTGAGCTGAACACCAGAGATGTTGGAGTTCCCTCCAGTCCCTTATTCCCACAAGACTTCTGCTGCTTGGCTTTCTCAAGGAAAAGTTTACTGTAGCCCCTATTAAGATTATGAAGAGGAGGCTCTTAGTTTGCTCTTCATAGCCATGTTTCTGTCTCTTTTGTTCCCTCACTGATTTTTGGGTTGTGTCCTGTTTGGCTTGTGAGCCTCAGTAGAAGGCAGTTGCAGAGCTCTGCTAAGGATAATTGCAACCGTGCTGCAACCAGAGCCAAAGGCCCTGAGCCAAGGGCTCCCGCTCCGCTGGTACTTCACTGCTTGCTAGGTCTTTCATGTGAAGCAGGTTGAGGAAAGTAGGACTCCTAGGTAGAAACGGGGCTGGGACACGAGGGGTCTGGGATTTAGTCTTGGCTCTGATTTTCTTCATACAGGCTTAAAAACAGGGCGGGGATCGTGCTTGCTTTTGTGAGATGACTTGGGATCTGTGACAAAAGGGACAGCTAGAAATTGCAAGGCAATTTTTGAGGCTTCAGCGGAAGTTTTACCCTACTTCTCATCTGTTCGGTGGGAAAGTATAAGTTTGGATGTTCGGAAAGGAACTTGAATCCACATAGAGATTGTTGTGTGGCAAACTTGTACCAAGAATGAGGCTCTTTCACTGGCCCATAGCTTGCCCTGAAAGCATCTTGACATCATCTAGGAAAGCTCAGGCTGCTGGAAGGGAACTGCTGTGGCTTGTAGGTTGTGGTCTCTTCCGAGCTAACATAGGAGGGTTGGTCTCGCCTCGTCCCAGCATGAGCTGGACCGTAGCATTTGTGTGATTAGACAACGCAGAGCTGCTTGTTCTGCCACCTGGTTCTTGTTTCTTGTAAATAATGATGTAAACCCCTTCACGTATCTTCCTTGTAGAACTATAAGCGGCCGATGGATGGCACTTACGGTCCCCCTGCCAAGCGGCATGAAGGGGAGATGTACAACGTACCATACAGCGCTGGACAGGGGCAGGCACAGCAGCAGCTGCCTGCAGCACAGACCCAGCAACCGAGCCAGCAGCAAACTGCACAGCCTTCTCCGCAACAGGACATGTACAACCAGTATGGGAGCACATACCCTGCTACTGACCGCCGGCCCTCTGGAGGGCCCCAGAACCAGTTCCCATTCCAGTTCAGCAGAGAAAGGGTCTCGGCCCCCCCAGGCTCAAATGCTCAGCAGAACATGCCTCCTCAGATGATGGGTGGTCCCATCCAGTCTACTCCAGAGGGGCCACAGCAGGGCACCATGTGGCAAGGGCGCAATGAAATAGGGTACAGCTATCCAAATCGGCAGAGCACTGGCTCTACGCCGCAGGGGCCTGCTTATCACGGAGTAAACCGAACAGATGAAATCCTACATTCAGATCAGAGGGTCAATCACGAGGGCCCGTGGCCTTCCCATGGCAACCGTCAACCTCCTTATGGGCCCGCTGCCCCTGTGCCCCCAATGACGAGACCCCCACAGTCTAACTACCAGACCCCTCCTAGCATGCAGAATCACATTCCTCAGGTATCCAGCCCAGCACCTCTGCCCAGACCTCTGGAGAACCGCACCTCACCCAGTAAATCTCCGTTCCTGCACTCGGGGATGAAAATGCAGAAGGCAGGACCTCCTGTCCCTGCCTCTCACATAGCACCAGCAGCTGTGCAGCCTCCCATGATACGGAGGGACATCACCTTCCCACCCGGATCAGTGGAAGCTACACAACCTGTGCTGAAGCAAAGAAGACGGTTGACAGCAAAAGATATTGGTAAGAGTGAGCTCCTGCTGCACTGGGGTGGCATTTGGCCATGGGTATTGGTTAAAGGGACAGGCCTTGCTTTTGGTAGTAAGCTCTTGAAGCAGTGTATCGACAGTGAAGGACCTCACGTGGCTCCGAGTCCTATTTTTTCCAGCCGTTGGTTTTCAGTAACAATCGTGATTTCAATGCAGATGCAGCGCTAGCAATTGCTGGGACGTGCATTCTGTAAAAGCAGTGATTCTCGGCCTGAGTGCCTGGACATCCTTTCAAGGGTGCCACACAGTGTAAGCACTGAGAGGTGTGCAAATGTGATTTTTGCAAGATAAGCCCAGATATTTCAAACAGGAATCTGTAGCGTTAAAACCATTCTGACCCATTGTCTTTCTGAGTTATTGGCAACAGGAGAATCGCTCTTGGTTTTTCCGTAGTCAGAAATCAAATGAAAACTAAGAGCTGCCATTTTCCAAGGGGTTCCTCGAGTCTAACTAGGTTGAGAGCTGCTGCTGTAAATCCTCTCAAAGTGGGTTCTGCTGTACCTGGAATCAGAAAGCAGTACCGGGGACTCTTGTGTTAAACTCTAGAGGCTGGACGTCATATGTTTGTATTACAGGGACTCCTGAAGCGTGGAGGGTGATGATGTCTCTGAAGTCTGGGCTGCTGGCTGAAAGTACGTGGGCCTTAGATACCATAAACATCCTGCTGTATGATGACAACAGCATAATGACCTTCAACCTCAGCCAGGTGGGTGCAGATGCTCTGCTAGTGCTTCGAAGGTGAATAACACGCGTTGGGGTTTACCGTGGGCCCGGGAGCAGAGCAGAGCTCCTAGCCACGTGTGAAGCTGCCCAACACTTGCAGGAAAGTCACGTACCTGTTGTGCATGTTGGGCTGGGGCCCGGTACACTGCAGTCAGGTACACCATACACCCAGCTGCTTGTTTAGACGTGCAGCTCCCTCCTTTGCATTGCATGGGGTAGAGGTTCACATTTTCCTTGACTGTAAGGACACCCCACAAGAGGGATGGCGGCCTGTCGTCTTTGATACTGTACAGTGCCATTTGTCGCTTCCAGCTTCAGTGCTTTGCAGCCCAAGGGAATTCCTTACCTTTTCTAAGCTGCCTGTAGTTGGGTGTCTTGTGTGTCTCCTTCCTTTTTGCCCCACTACAATATTATCATTACCGTTTCACACCATTGCTTTGCTTTCCCATGTTTGAGAGAAGAAGGATGCTCCTGAGAAGGGGTGTTAGGGGTACCTGATTTGTTTGCTTTCTCGGAGAAAGGGAGGCCTCACTTTCTAGTGGTCAGAGTAACAAACTTGTAATGCACAGGTAGCGTAAAAAAGGAGCCAGCTGACTTTGCCATTGCTGCTTCAGCTTGTGACCCTCTTCTGCCCGACATCCCCTATCGCTCACATTGGCTTAACTTGGTCTCTGATTTCTTCCGTGGTTCTTTCTCTCTCTCTCAGCTGCCAGGGTTGCTAGAACTCCTGGTGGAATACTTCCGGCGTTGCCTGATTGAAATTTTTGGGATCCTGAAGGAGTATGAGGTGGGAGATCCAGGACAAAGAACACTATTGGATCCCGAAAGGTTCTGCAAGTCTTCAAGTCCCTCTCTTGACGAGGGGGAATATGAAGAGGAGCTGCAGAGCCCGAACTGTGAGGAGGAGGAGGAGGAGGAGGAGGAAGAGGAGGCTGCCTTTGCGAGCAAGGACAAAGCACCCCTGGAGAGCAGCGAGGAGAAGCTGGTCAGCAAGTTTGACAAGCTTCCAGTCAAGATTGTGCAGAAAAATGACCCCTTTGTGGTAGATTATTCCGACAAGCTGGGGCGCGTGCAGGAGTTTGAGAGCGGGTTGCTGCACTGGCGGATTGGCGGGGGCGACACCACGGAGCACATCCAGACCCACTTCGAGAGCAAAATGGAGCTACCTTGGATTCACAGACGAGCTTCCTGCAGCGCTGCCTCAAGAAAACGTCTAGCAGCCGAGAGCAATCCGGGCACTAGGGAGGGAGAGAACCCTCCATCTGATGGCCCCCCAGAGAAGAGGATAACGGCCACCATGGATGACATGCTTTCGGCCCGGCCAGGGTCCCTGCCGGAGGAAGAGGAAGAGGTCAAAAACTCGGAAGCAACAAAGGAAAGCAGCAAGTTCCCATTTGGTATCAGTCCAGCTCAGAGCCACAGAAACATAAAAATTCTGGAGGACGAACCTCACAGTAAGGATGAGACGCCCCTGTGCACCCTCCTGGATTGGCAGGACTCTCTTGCCAAACGCTGCATCTGTGTCTCAAATATCATCAGGAGTTTATCGTTTGTGCCGGGCAATGACTTTGAGATGTCTAAACACCCCGGTCTGCTGCTGATTTTAGGGAAACTGATTCTGCTGCATCACAAGCATCCAGAGCGCAAACAGGCACCGCTGACGTACGAGAAAGAAGAGGAGCAGGACCAAGGGGTGAGCTGCAACAAGGTGGAGTGGTGGTGGGACTGCTTGGAGATGCTACGTGAAAATACGTTGGTTACCCTGGCCAACATTTCTGGTCAGTTGGACCTCTCCCCTTACCCAGAAAGCATCTGTTTGCCTATCCTGGATGGACTCCTCCACTGGGCAGTTTGTCCGTCAGCAGAGGCCCAGGATCCCTTCCCAACCTTGGGGCCCAGTGCTGTCCTCTCCCCTCAGAGACTGGTTTTGGAAACACTCAGCAAACTCAGCATCCAGGACAACAATGTGGATTTGATTCTTGCGACTCCCCCCTTCAGTCGCTTGGAGAAGCTCTACAGCACCATGGTGCGTTTCCTCAGTGACAGAAAGAACCCGGTGTGTCGAGAGATGGCTGTGGTACTACTGGCCAACTTGGCACAGGGTGACAGCCTGGCAGCTCGAGCGATTGCTGTGCAGAAGGGCAGCATTGGCAACCTGTTGGGCTTCTTGGAGGACAGCCTGGCAGCCACTCAGTTCCAGCAGAGTCAGGCCAGCTTGATGCACATGCAAAACCCACCCTTTGAGTCGACGAGTGTGGACATGATGCGTCGGGCAGCCCGAGCGCTGCTTGCCCTGGCCAAAGTGGACGAGAACCACTCTGAGTTCACGTTATATGAATCGCGGCTGTTGGACATCTCCGTGTCGCCTTTGATGAACTCCTTGGTTTCACAAGTTATTTGTGACGTACTGTTTTTAATTGGCCAGTCATGACAGCTGTGGGATGCCTCTACCCCTGGTGTGCGTGTGCGTGAGTGGAGAACTTAGAAACTGACTGTTGCCCTTTATTTATGCAAAACCACCTCAGAATCCACTGTCTGCCCTGCGCTGTCCTGCTTCTCCCTCGGGGAAAGATGTCCCCCTTCCCTTCTCCCCTTCCCCTGCCCTTCAAATTTGTCCTGAACCCCCGGTTCCAGGAGACAGTTCTGCCTACATAGAAGACTTTTTTTTATTTTAACCAAAGTTACTGTCGTTTACAGTGAGTTTGGGGAAAACGACTTGCCGTGTTACCGCATCGACAGGCACCACTTTCATAACTGTTTTTAAATGGTAAACTCTGAAGGACAAAAGTGACTGCTGAACTCTGTGTGGTTTATCGTTGTACATTCACAATCTTGCAGGAATCAAGAAGTTACCAGTTGTGAACAGACCTTGTCCAATGGAGGCCTGTGCAGTAGAGTGTAGAACTTCATGTACTGTACACCTTAAACTGTAAACATACTGTAATAATGTCTCACATTGAAAAGAAAAAAAAAACGCTGGATCAGCAGCAAGCTGTAGTTTTTAAAAATGTTTTTAGTTAATGTTGAGGAGAAAAAAAGGCTTTTCCCCCAAAGTATCATGTGTGAACCTACAACACCCTGACCTCTTTCTCTCTTCCTCCTTGATTGTATGAATAACCCTGAGATCACCTCTTAGAACTGGTTTTAACCTTTAGCTGCAGCCTGAATGCTGCCACGTGTGTATATATATATGACGTTGTACATTGCACATACCCTCAGATCCCTTGCAGTTTTGTCCCTGTCCTCCCCTCCCCTTTATAGTATGACGAGTTAACGAGTTGATGACCTGCAAAAGCGAGACACAATTATTTAATCTCTTGCCAGACATCTCTCCCTGGAGGATGCTGTACAGGTCTCTGTGTATAAAGTCATTGCTGTCTCAGCAGCCAATCAACTTATAGTTTATTTTTTCCTGTTTTTGTTTTCTTTCTAATCGAGGTGTGAAAAAGTTCTAGGTTCAGTTGAAGTTCCTGATGAAGAAACACAATTGAGATTTTTCAGTGATGAATTCTGCATATTTGTATTTCAGACGATGTAGCTAAAAACTTGATGTAAATTCCTCCCTTTTTTCCTTTTTTGGCTTAATGAATATCATTTATTCAGTATGAAATCTTTATACTATATGTTCCACGTGTTAAGAATAAATGTACATTAAATCTTGGTAAGATGTTTGTGAGGATTTTTATTTATTTTTTTTATTTTTAGTAGAGAAATGTGAAAGCAACTCCAGTCCCATCGAGGCTAGGATTTCACCTTCTAGACCAGCTCTTTTTGCCCCCTGGGCAGTAGAGAGAGCTCTAGAGCCCTGTTCCTTGGCAGCGTGTGATTTGATTGTGTGTGTGGGGGGGGGAACACAAAATCGTCTCCATTAACTGTAAGGCTATGATTTTCCCCTTCTGTCGCACTGGCCCCTGGGTTAGTGGCGATAAATCCTGAAGACAGGGACAATGACGTCCACAGGGGGACTGGAGAGCTCAAGAAAAAGACACTGTTGGGTGAAGAAAGCAAAGGCTAGGAGGAGAGGCAGTTGCCTTTCAGTATCTGCAGATGGGAAATTTCAATTAAAAAAAAAAAAAATCCCCATGCATGTGTCTGGTTTTCTTGGAACTGCGCTGTGTAGACTGACTTCCCTTAAGGGGAGGGGTTTTCCAGTCTTCTCAAACATCCTCCAAGCCAGCAGCCAACAGTCGGTATCCAGCACAGTAACCTTTGGGGTGGGCGTGAAAATCTGCCCGTTAATAGGTTGGTTGGGAAATGGGTGAGTTTTACTTTCGTTCGCTATGACGCTGGTGCCAATGATCTTGGCATTGTAGTGGAAACGGTTCAGAACAGTAATGTGTACTGAGTTTTAAGGAAAACGGACAAATGACATTATGTAATGCTGCTTCTGTCCAAGAAATCAAATCCTCTCTTAGGCCTGGTCCAGTCCTCCCCCTTGAGACCCAGTTCCATTTTAAACCCTCTGCCCTGCAGTGGCATTTTTGTTTTCAGTTTAAATTTCTGGAAGTCCTCGCACCACAGTGGTTATGTTTATTGGTGATGAACAGATGCTACAAAACCCCAAAGTGTTTATAATTCCAGTTCTTGCTTGGCTGGTAGGAGAGGGGAATCCCTCCAAACCAATTCCTTGGGAGACCGTAGTAGCAACAGAGTGACCTCGTAGTAAAGAAATCTCGCCTTGGACCTGCTTTGCTGTTTGAGAGAGGCAAGCTGTGCAGAACTGGACCAAATTCTCTCAATCAAGTTGGATGTATTTTTAGCCTGGTGTGCTGATTGCTAGTGGTCACCAAGGCATTAAGCACACATTCCTGCCCCCAAAGTTATCTTTTGTACGTATAAAGATGAGTGTGGCTTAATTCAGGGACCCTTAGTTAATGTCACGTGTCCTAGTAGCTTTGCTTTTAATTCAAACTGAGAATCCTGCATCTGGTTCCAGCAGGTTGCGGCAAACTTGGGAACTCTGAATTGACTCCTGAAATGATTTTTTTTTCTTTGTTTTTGAATGGAAAGACCCTCAGCAGCACGATCACCATGATAGTTTCCAGCAGCATTTGTCCAAGAACTTGTCTTCAGGCAGGCTGTCTCTGTTCATGTTTCTGTGGCTGTACGTGTTTCACAGCTCACGGTACCTAAGGAGAGGTAGAGAAGAGTTAACAAGCGGTAATAAGCACCCACTCAGGCACCTGAGTGGGGGAGTCCCCTAGCATCGTGTCCCTAACAAGGTGAGTTTAGCCGTGTGATCTTGTGAAAACAGTGCAAGTGAGCACAGATGAGAAATAGGTAAAAATACAAGAACGAAAGGTGCCCAATTTGTAATTGGGAGCTATTTAAAGAACCACTCTCCCGACTTTTTACAAAACCTACTTCAACACCGGACTGCCAGGCACAGAATGTAAAAACGACTGGAGTTTCACCAGCTTCCAAATCTATGCAGATATTCCTTGAAGCCAACCTCCTTTCTTGACCCAGGGAGCTGTGCAGATTCTTGCAAGCAGCATAGCACATTTGCTTCTCCCATCTCCCTCACTGGCAGATTGTAAGCAGCTTTGTGAAACCTCCGCTGAGGATGCAACTGCCAATGCCTATCATCTTGTCCTTGCAAGAAATCTTAAGTATCATTAAGGAAATAATGCTGGAACATTTTGAAATACACATTTATAGGATTTCCTTGGAGAAAGAAACCTCTCGATCTCTGCAAGATTTTGCTCATTTTTTTTTTTTTAACTCAAAAATAAAACCTGTAAAGTGCATTCCTAACAAGCTGTAGTGTGCTTTTTGAGGCACTTTCAATGTTGTGGTTAAGCACAATGAGATCTCGTTTAGGAAGAAAGCCGAACTTGATAGGATCTTGCCTACACAGCAGTCATCTGTGCTATGTGGAGGCTTCCACCGTCCTTTCCCAGTAAGTAAAGTTCATAATGGCGGAAGGCTCAAGTGTGTTACTCAGTGGTGTGTTGTGGCTAATATCACATCATGAGCAAATCCCATTTCCGTGTGTGCTGTGGGTTATTAGTATCAGCGTTCCTGAGCTGCTGTGGAGCACGTCCCCCTGTGGGTCCAGGAGCCCCATACCGAGAAGGTAAGCGCTGCTGTGCTCGTTTTACAGACTGAGAAACTGAGGCACAGGTCTGGCTGGGGTCACTCGGCAAGCGGGCGGCTGTGCTGGGAGCGGAGCCTAAGTCTGCTGCGTTTCGCAAGGTGTGTGTCCGGTGCTCTCTTGGACGGCGCGGGGCCGTGAGTGGAGGACTTGACCTTGGGGCTGAGGGCGATTCACCCCCACGAGCCCGCATCGGGGGCGCCTGCTGAGAGTAGCGGCAGCGCGAGTGTGGTGACGGACTCGGGCTGGTTCGAACTCATGTTGATGGACTTGTTTGAACTCTTGCCACCGTCTGTGTTTTGCCAGGCCTTGCGCGTCCTCGAGGCAGGAGGATGCGAATTCAACGGGGCCTGGGGCGACAGCACCCACGTCTCGGGAGTCTTCGCTAACGTGCCGTTGGCACAAGGCAAGGAACCCCGGCGTTCCTGCATCAGTCGGTTGTGTCTCTTGGGTGGCTTCATAACGCGTGTCCCTGAGCGTTGGGGTGGCGCTCAGCGTGGTGCGGTGAGAGGCCTCGGTGGGAGCGTTGGCAGCTGCGGGGCTTGGTGGGAGGAGATGTGCTGAAACGTGGGGCCAGGCCCTGGGCGGGGGTCAGAGGTCAGCGCTGCAGTGGCTCCATCACGGCCCCGCCCGTGACCCTCGTGTTTCACGGCGGAGGTGGAGCGGGACGCTTCCTGCACCGGGCCTGGCAGGCCTCCCCCCGCCCCCACGTGGAAGCCACTAGGCGCCGCACCCGCCCTTCAGCCCTGAACAAAGATGGCGCCCGCCGGGTGACGCACGAGGGCGGCCTCAGCCAGCGCCAGTACGCTTGCGCAAAAGCGCCGCGCGGCACAGCCGGAAGCGCTCCCTTTCTTCTTCTGTCTTGCAGCTGCCGCTGCCGGAAGTGCTCGCTGGAAGGCGGAAGTGACGGGGGCGCCTGGGTGGCCACGGGAAGGAGTCGGAGCCGCAGTCCCGTGCCGAGCACTCAGGTGGGGGAGGGGAGGGGAGGGGCTCCATCAGGCCCCG